TTTTTCACTTAATGTATGGTTTCAACGATGAAGATGGCAGGAAATCTTCATTGAGGATTTCTGGGTATTTGGTGAAGTTTACAATCTAATCTGAGTATGTTTATTGTGAAGTTTGGCCATTATAGATTGTGTAACATCCAAGATGTAGATGTTTATAGGAACAGATTTGGAGAAATGTAACTAATGGATGCTCTGCAGTGAATGGGTGCCGTCAGAATGAGAGCCCAAACAGCTGATAAAAACATCATAATAATCCACAAGTAATCCACACCACTCCAGTCCATCAGTTAACATCTTGTGAAGTGAAAAGCTGCATGTTTTTAAGAAACAAATCCACCATTAAGACGTTTTTAACTTTAAACCATTGCTTGTGACCAAAATACGAGTCCATAATCCATAACATTGCTTTTTCCAATGAAAAAAAGTCATCTGTTGTCTGTCGTCCCCGGGCCGGTCATTATGATCGACGTCACGTCTCTGCTCTACTAATTACTTTAATTAGAGCGCCTGTCTGCTAGGAATCCAAGTTGCCTGTAATGATGGATGAATGTTGGGCCGCATGTTCAAAGTCAGGAGGGTTTGTGTGGATGTGTGTTTAGGGTTGAAGAGTTGAACAGCCTAAATCCTCCAATGCTGCGTGCTACTTCATGGATCAGTAAGTCTTTTTATTGCATCAGATACAGTCTGCTGAGCAATATCACTCACACACACTCGCATGTAAGGAAATTCAATTGCATTCCCATATCTAGTGCCAGGAAGAGCATCTCGAGTTCAGCATTGAGGAAGTCGAAGTGTGCAGTAAAGCACATCATGCAGAAATACACACACGCTCTCTTAAAAATAAAGGCTGCAAATTGAGAAAAGATGTAGTTGGATGGTGGAAAGTGTGTTACAGTTTATTCCTTTGAAGCTAAACTTGAATATCGGTTCAAATTGGAATGCATATAAAGAATTGTAACATATATTAGGAAAAGAATTAGTGTAGTTGAAGCACAACAGCTCTGTGGAGTCCACTGAAGCTTTCAGAAACACCTCTGTATCTCCTCCTGACTCCTGTCAAGACTGTCATTCACACTCTGTCACTTTTCCATGGATAGGCTTGTTTTCTCTCACACTCTTTCTTTTTTTATACTGTGTTTTCTCTCCTCTCACATGGGCCAACCATATAAAACACCTTTGAAACCACTCAGAGCACTCTTGCGTCATGGGAATTTTCTGCAGAAACTTCTCAAATGTTTCAAAAATTCTAGAAATCAGAGCAGAGCTTAGATCATTTTGCACGGGAAGAGTTTAATAAGAAATATTTGAGCTCATAGTGAGATCTTTGCCTTTTTATATGCGATTTTTCCAATTAAATGGATGAATTTTTTTAACTTTTTATATTGAAAGATGAGATTTTTTAAAATTATTTTAGTGTTTTTAATATAATATAGTATTTATTCATATTTTAAATTAACTTTTATTTTTATATTTTCAGTTTTCATTTAATTTGAATTTAATTTTTCATTTTAGTTTAATGTTTAGTGATTTTATGTGCTTTTGTCATTTTTATTAGTATTTTAATATTTCTATTTAACTTTATTTTTTACTTCAGTTTTAGTTTTAGTAATTTTAGAATTTTAACTTATTTAGCAGCATTTCTAATATTTTAACTTTTTTACGCTCACGTTCCACCAGCTCTCTCAGGAACACAGAGGGAATCTGGTAAAATTGTACTCATTCTCGCTTTCTGGCTCAATGGCATGTGTCATGCATTCGAAACCTGCTTACAATTTAATATGAAAAGTATAATCTCATAGTTTGATATCTGCCACAGATTTTCTTAGTTCTTAAGATTTAATATTTATATTAAATATAGGAATATTTTGGTATGCACCCACATGGAAATTGAAGGCTGATAGTGTTTTTACTATATCCAATAATTGATATTCTTGCTTATTTTAAAGCTGTTTTAACTCCAGTCTAGAATTTTTCGTGCAGTTTTTCAGGTTAAATCAAACAATGAAATGTTGTGTGCATCATATGACAGAAAAGAAGGTTTTGTGCTATATATATATATATATATATATATATTAGTAAAAATTATATTTAAATATTATTTGATTTTAAGTTTGTCTGTCTGTCTATCTATCTATATACAGTGGGTACGGAAAGTATTCAGACCCCCTTACATTTTTCACTTTTTGTTATATTGCAGCCATTTGCTAAAATCATTTAAGTTAATTTTTTTTCCTCATTAATGTACACACATCACCCCATATTGACAGAAAAACACAGAATTTCTATAAAATGGTTAAATGTTTAGTCAACTTGAAACCCTTCTGAGTAAAACAGGATATGTAACAAGAAATAACGTAGATCAGGGCCTGGTTTATCTATCCGGAATTGACTGGGTTGTAAAAAGTGGGTGTTAAATACCAGAATAGAGTCAGGCGGTTGAAGTTGATGTGGAAAAACAAAGGTTTGGTGACGTCAGACGAAAAGGAAGGTTGTTTAGCCGGAGCAAGTTGAAGGTTTCGTTTTTTATTTGGAATAACTTGCACTAATGGATCATTCTCAATATTACCAGGAACAAGAAAGCAAATTTTGAGTAATAAGAGTTAATTTTGTTGAGTACAGAAATGAATTTCTTGTGTATGTGAGTGAGTCTAGTGTGTTTGATGTCGGCATGACTGTGGCATTAGTGCGGTGTAAAAATATCTTTGCGTATAGAAAGTCATGACTTTTTTCCAACCACTGGTCTTTTGGCCTTTCATAATCCTGTCAGTTGAGAGCTTGAGTCAAATTTCAAATGTGCCATCAGAGACCGTTCACAACACAAGAGACATTAATCAAGAGACAATAATCATCTCAACAGTTATTATCCTGCATTAATGATGCATACATCCAGCTGCTCTATAAAAAGCACAATGTTTCATGTTGTGTTTAGTGACTTTTCTACTATGAGCTGTGTTGTTGCAGGACCATATTAAAGAACAGATGCCCCAACATGCTCCAGTGCACGTCTCTTTCTCCTCTCGGCTCACACCGTCAGCCTGCTCTGACCTGGAAATGTGCGGCGGGCCGCATTGCATGCGTTCAGAAAGATGCAAGTGCGTCCTGTCGCCTCGTGGCATGTCACCAAAACGACTTCTCTCCCCCTTGCATGCGCCTGTGTTTGTCTCTCTGGACCCGTCTCCTGCCTGCAATCTATCCAGGGACGACCTATGCCAAAATAGGCCAAGGGCATCTCTCTCTCTTCCCGTGTGTCTTCAGCACCTTTATAAATAAACTCATTGTCCTCTATGTGCCTGCAGTTGACGGTCAGGCCAATTAGAAAGGGCCCTCTAGGAACCCCGGGCCCCTGTCATGCGTCAGCCTCTCAGAGACGGGGCCCCGGTGGACAGATACCTGCCAGCGCACCCCAAACTTAGCTGACCCGCCGTGCCTTAAAAGGGAAGAGGCGCAGCTGCTCTGTGACGTGTGACGTTAAGCCTTCGGCATGACGTCTGGTGAAGCAGATCGGATGTGTCAGGTCGTCCTGATGGATGAGTGTGTGCTGCTGCTGCTGTATGTGTCATACACATCTTGCCGGGTTATTCTTTCTTTATTATGTTCAAAGGGATAGTTCAGCACAAAATGAAAACTGTTATCATTTACAATATTTTCCAGAAAATAAGCCTGGGTCGCTCTGGGTCAAAATTTCATTGTTGAGAGAGAAAAAAAAAAAAGTTGCATGAGGAGTTATTATAGTATTGTTTATTTAGTATTATAGTTTTTATTAAAATTTTATATTAGCTTTAATTATTATATTTTCAGTTTAACAATTAGTCATTTTATATGCTTTCGCCATTTTAATTAGTTTTTTTATATTTCTATTTAACTTATTTTTACTTTAGTTTTAGTCATTTTAGTAAATACAATTATATTTAGTATATAAAATTAGTTTTTTTATCTCTTAGTTTTTATTTTACTTTTGATTCATTAACAAAAAATATTTTTATTTTTATTTTAGTTTTACATTTCATTTTTATTTATTTCCAGTTAGTAATTTTAGTGCTTCAACTTATTTCAGTAAGTTGCCAAGGCAACATTTCTAGAGTTCGTTTAATTTAAAGTTTTTATCTCATATTTATTTTATTTTATTTCAGCTTTATTTAGTACCAAAATATTTTTTAATAGTTTTAGTTTTGGTTAACGATAATAACCGTGTCACGTAGGTATGTAAGTCACATTTTATTATTACATTCAGAAATAATGTAAAATACTTCTAAATAGAAAAAAAGGTTTAAAACATACTAAACATGTATTTTAGTTCCTCTCACTGTACAATAAATCCTTTAAATTGAATGGTATTCAGAACAGGAATGAAAAATATAAGTATAAAAAATATATAAATTATAGTGGCATTCATTATAAGCAACAGTCATGCTCCGTGAAGAATTTTTTAAAATAAATTTCCTACCGTAAATGTATAAAAACTTAATTTTTGATTAGTAATATGCATGGCTAAGAACTTCATTTGGACAACTTTAAAGGTGATTTTTTTCAATATTACATTTTTTTGCACCCTCAGATTCCAGATTTTCAAATAGTTGTATCTCGACCAAATATTGTCCTATCATAACAAACCATGCATCAATGGAGAGCTTATTTATTTATGATGTATAAATCTCAATTTAAAAAAATTGACCCTTCTGACTGGTTTTGTGGTCCAGCTGTATATGTATGTTGAAGCAGAAATATTTAAAAACGTTTAAATATTTAAATGTTTGAGTAGAAATATGTAAAAACATTTAAAGTGTACTTTTCGTATTCTAATAAATTAAAGAACTTTTGTAACACATTATATGATAAATTTTTATTGCACCCAACTTGGGGGCACATGTGCTTCTTGGGAAAATGCAGGCATCAAACCCTGATTTTGGGGAAGAGCACTGTATTTTTTGACTAAACTTACTGTGTTTACGCTAACATTTCGTTATTTGTTTCATAACGCCAGTATCTCTCTTTCTTTGTAGCTTTGACGTGGACAATGGCACGTCGTCAGGACGGAGTCCCCTGGATCCCATGACGAGTCCGGGTTCGGGCCTGATCCTTCAGGCCAACTTTGTGCACAGCCAGCGGAGGGAATCCTTCCTCTACCGCTCTGACAGCGACTATGACCTGTCGCCGAAGTCGATGTCCCGAAACTCCTCCATCGCCAGTGACATGTGAGTACTGGAACCGTTTTAAACCATGTGCCATTCTCCCATAACCCTTTACTTTATTTTGGGTCAGTTAACGTTTATTTTGATTTTTTTGGACTGACTTTTGTTTCACTGAGCAGAAGCACACTAAAATGAGACGTCTTGATTGTATTGCGATTCAGCGTAATTTCATTTGTTCATGCAGATATCTTACACTTTTCTTTTCTAGTAACCAAAAAGAGTTCAAGAATACTTTCTGTGATCTGATTTGATATAATGTTTTAAAACAGATAGAACTACAGGTTGAAAAGGACCAGTTAGCCCACATATATGTTCTGCTGTCTCATCCATTGATGGTTCCCTGTTGTTTGAGTGTGTGTGTGTGTTTGTGTCTTTATATGTAGTACATGTACATGTGTGTGGTCTTCAGTGGTATGTTGTTTGCCCCCAGGTCACACGTCTCTAACATCAGTCTCTCTCTCTCTCTGTCTACATCATTTCTCTTTCTCACACACATTGAAGAGCGTAAGAGTCTTTACAAACCTTTATTACATACATACATTTAAATTAAAAAAGGAATTAATACTTTTATTCACTAATGATGACTTATATTGATCAAAAGTGACAGTAAAGACATTTATAATGTTACAAAAATTCTAATACATTTCAAATAAATGCTTCTCTTTTGAACTTTCATTAAAATAATCATAAATAAAATATCATGGTTTCCACAAAAATATTAGGTATTAACTTTTAAGGTATTAACAATTTTCAACATTGATAATAATCAGAAATGTTTCTTGAGCAGCAAATCAGCATATTAGAATGATTTCTGAAGATCATGTGACACTGAAGACTGGAGGAATGATGCTGAAAATTTAGCTTTGATCACATGAATAAATTACATTTGAGAATATATTCACATAGAATCAGTTATTTAAAATTATAATATTTCACAATATTACTGTTTTACTGTATTTTTGATCACATAAATGCAGCTTTGGTGAGCATAAAAGACTTCTTTAAAAACATAAAAAAGTGTACTGACCCCCAGCTATTGAACGGTAGTGTGAATATGGCATTAAAGTAAAAAGTAAAGTAAAGTATTTCAGGTGCAATCTCACCCTCATATCATTCCAAATGCGTGACTGACGTATAAAGCCACAGCTTTACAGTGTTTTCTCTTCTTCTGAGAGCTTGGTGGCCACAGTACACTTTAATCATCAAGTTTGGATTGACATGAAGGTGATCTTTGAGTGAACTATTCCTTTAATACGACATGAAAAAAGCCAAAGTAAGTCAGTGAAGAACCTGAGAGAGACTCAAATGACTCTTTAGCGGTTCGCTGACCGTGTCTCTTTAGAGACAGTCTTTCAAAACAGCCACTTCTCAAACCACAGGCAGAGGAACCAACGTGTGTGATGCGTTCTATATGTATGTGTGTGTCTGTGTGTGTGTGTGTGTTTGTCTGACAAACTTTGTCCTTATCGATAGGAATAACCACTTGCCGAGACCGGGCCTGGTCTCTCGGAGATCTGAGCCGGTTATTAGTGGAAAGTAAGTTCTGGTTCTAGCTCGCCTGTCCTAAAGGCAGCTCCTGACCTTGCTCTTCCTCAAGGAATGCTCTTGCTTGTCTAATCTGCATCACCTTGCTTCACCTGTAGACGCGAGCATCACAGTCTCACATGCATTGAGAAGCCTCACCTACACCCTCACCATTTAATGCACAGAATGATGACCAAATCAACTTGCGATGGGACAACAAATAGTAGTTATCAGGTTGATTTGATTGGTTGACAATTCTGGGCATTAAAACCTCTGTGTGTCGTAAGAGTGTAGGGGTACGAGATGAGAGATACTGCATGGAGAAGACGGAGTCCGGATGACATGCCACTTGTGGCTCGGACGTGTGTGTGAGTGCGTGTTTGTCAGTCTCCATCTTTGCCATGATCCTGCATTGCATGTGACACTGATACTGGTAGTTCAGAGGTGCACATGAGACTATTATTATTATTATTTCCTCCAGTCACCGTGAATGCATTCACTCTATTGTGTAGCATAATTTAATGTTCCTCAGCAGATTGATCTAATAAGCAATAAAATGCTTGACATTTAAGAGAAGATGGATGCTTTGTAAACTCTTACGTCAAATGTTGAAATTGATGAATTAGATTTTGGGCTGCATTCGTCACATTCAAACAATAGGGGGAGCCAACAGTACTTCAAAATTATCATTTTTATTTTATAATTATTTTTATTCATTATTATAAACATTTTTATTAATACTTCTCAGTATTCAACAGAATATATTTATAATCAACATTTCTCTCACTACTTTTTTATATATATAAATGTATAAAATATACAATTAATATTTTTTATTTTATTTTTTAGTGTTCAACAATGTATTTATAATAATTTCCCTCACTTTTTATAATATATAAAATGTATAAAATATATATTTTCTGTTTTTATTTTATAATTGAATTAATAGTTTATGCATGCTACTTCTCTTTTGGGATAACCTTTGCATTTGAAGCACACTCGACAGCTTAAATTGCTGCTTCACATAAGTTTTGGAACAGAACGTGAGAGTACAACAGCATAGAGGTGTAATTCTTGAATTATATCAGTTCAGATGCATGATAAAACAAGCACATGAACAGCAGAACGATCAAACAGCCCAGATCGTATGGCTAAAGCAAATGCAACGGTGATGAATGATATCACAGGAAGTTGTCAGATCAGTGCACTTCCTCTCTCTGGCCTGATCTTTGCAAGCTCAGAGTGTTTCTCTATGTAACCCTGCACCGGCTCATGCATTATGTAGAGTCCCGAGGGATGGCGGACGCACGCTTTCGTTTCATTCCGCCAGAGAATCCATTCTCAACCCGGAATGGCAGGAAATATCATGTCGGTTTCTGATATTACCTTCTACAACTGCTCTTGGAGTTTTAGAAGTTCATTGGTCTTTGGAATAGCTTGTATTGCACGTAATGTACTGTAATGATTACTGCTGGAAAGTCTGATT